GAGAGTATATGGAGAAGATATTCCAGATAATAAAGTGGTAGGATACGATAATCGAGTCACACGACACAGACACATTGTATGTAGCAGAGTTACAAGGAAGCATTGAAAATCATGTTAACAGAATATTAGAAAAGACCGAGAAAGTAGTAAAAGAAGACGCTCTCAAGAGTCAGTTAAATTTCAACAACATTTCTGAGTCAAGTAATACTGTAGAAGAAAGAGGTCAAAATAATTACAACAAAGGAAGAAGAAATTATAGAGGCATAGGCCGAAGAAATTATGGTGGAAGAGGTCGTGGAAACTTTAACCAATGGAGAGACAACAACTTCAACGGTTTCAATCCAGCACGTCAAGGAAGAGGTGGTTATAGTATTGGATCTACAAGAGGAAGAGGTAACTTCAATCAAGAAAGGACGAATTATAGTTGTTATCACTGTGGAAAGTTTGGACACAAAGCAGCTGATTGCATATACAAACATCAGACAAATGTGACTGAAAGTTCGTATAAAAATATCGGTGAGTACTTTGAAAATCCAGAAAATTTATTTTTGGTAAGTAATACATTTTTAGAAGAGGAAAATATTTGGTATCTGGATACTGGGTGTAGTAATCATATGTGTGGGAAAAAGGAATTATTTTCTTCTCTAAATGAAATAACAAAGTCAGTGGTAAAATTTGGAAACAATTCAAATATTCTAATTTTTGGAGAAGGTCAAATTTCTATCAGGTTGAAAGATGGATCTCAAAACTTTATTGGTGATGTTTTCTATGCTACTGGTCTTCATCACAATCTATTGAGTATGAGACAACTATCAGAGAGAGGTTACAATATGTAGATTCACAATGGTTTCTGCATATTGATTGACAGAAATGGTAGATTTATCACAAATGTAAGAATGACACTGAACCGCCTATTTTCTTTGAAAAATCAACATGAAAGATTTCCTTGCTTGAGTTCTATCATTTCAAATGATGATTGGTTGTGGCACATGAGATTTGATCACTTTTATTTTTCTGGTTTGAATTACTTGTCGAGAAAAGAATATGTTTCTGGATTTCCTGTTGTGAATATTCCAAATGGTGTATGCGAGACTTGTCAGATTGAAAAGAAGCATAGAGATTAATTTTCAATTGGAATGTCTTGGCGAGCGAAGAAGCTACTGCAGATAATTCATTCACTATGTTCAGTGGAAATACCAACACTAGGTGGTTGTAAGTACTTTATTACTTTTATTGATGATTTCAGTAGAAGACTTGGGTGTATTTCTTGAAACAAAAATCAGAAGCATGTGATGCCTTTAAGACATTTAACGCATTGTAGAAATACAAAGTGGTTGTAGAATTAAAGCATTGAGAACAGACAGAGGTCAAGAATACCTTGTACCAATACAAGTTTCTTTGAGCAACATGGAATTAAGCATCAATTAACAACAAGATACACACCTCAGTAAAATGGAGTTGCTGAAAGAAAGAATAAAACAATCATGGATATGGTAAGATGCATGTTGAAAGCCAAACAAATGCCTAAAGAATTTTGGACAGAAGTTGTTGCTACTGCAGTTTATATTTTAAACAGGTGTCCTACAAAGAGTGTTAAAGGAAAGACTCCCGAAGGAGCTTGGAGTGGAAGAAGACCTTCGATCCGACACCTTAGAGTTTTTAGATGTATTGCATATTTCCCATGTACCAGATCAATTGAGAAATAAGTCAGATGATAAAGGAGAAAGATGTATCTTTGTTGGTTACAGTTCAAACTCAAAGGCGTATAAGCTCTACAATCCAGAGAAAGGTGATTATCAGTCGAGATGTGACTTTTGATGAAGGAGGAATGTGAGATTGGTCCTCAAAGTCACAAAAGGATTCAGTAGTGACTTTAAATGATTACGAAGAGAAGATTGAACATAATTCAACACCTGATGAGTCAGAAACATCCAACTAACAACAAATAGGAAATGATGTGCCAGAAACATCCAACATACAACAAAGGCCGCGTAGATTACCAGCCAGACTGCAAGATTGTGTTTTGGGTAATGATAATGACCCATCTGATGAAGAGATTATCAACTTTGTTTATTTGCAAATTGTGAGCCATTAAATTTTGAAGAAGCCTCGAGTGATGAAAATTAAAGAAAAACCATGAATGAAGAAATCAATGCAATTGAGAAGAATAAAACACGGGAGCTGACAGAGTTACTAGCACACAAGAAACTTATAGGAGTGAAGTGGGTGTACAAGACAAAGTACAAATTCAGTGGTGAGATTGATCGATATAAAGCAAGGTTGATAGCAAAAGGATACAAACAAAAACCAGGTATTGATTACTTTGAGATATTTGCTCCTGTTGCAAGGTTGGATAGAATTAGAATGCTTATTTCGATATCAACTCAAAATAACTGAAAAATACATCAAATAGATGTTAAGTCTGCATTTCTAAATACATTTTTAACTATTCAAATGTTTGTTTTTTTGTATATTATAGAGTGTTTTCAGAGATGCATTTCCAAATATACTCCATAAAACTTTTGCTCATCCATTTGCGATTATTTTGTGAAAAAATAATACGTTTAAAAATGCATCTCTAAAAACTAAAAATATTTTTTACTTTTCGCTAAAAGTTTGGAAGAACATATAATATAAATGAAAAAAGAAATTGCTTTTTAACATAAAAGCTGGGTTAACTGAATTTTCTAATATAAAGGAGTAATGAAAGCACGAGGAAATATAGTCAAGCATAAATGACATTCTAAATAACGCGAATAAAATAATATTTTTATTCAAATATTCATTTAAAAAAAGTACATTTCTCCAAATGTTTATAATATTTAGTTAACTTAAAATTATAAAAAAATAAAAATAAAAATAATTATGAATAGTAATGGAAAGTTGTAGTTATTTAAATTTTATTTTTATGAAAATGTTAGATTCTCATCTTTCACCATAAAAAAATTATTAAAAAAAAAAGTCATGTGAAATAATATTCTTGAAAATAAGAAATACATAGGAATAATTTTTAAAAACATGATATTGTTGCATTTTCAATCACACATTCTCAAAAATGTAATTCTAATCCTTTTAGTGACACGACTGATTAGTAAATCACAAAAGACAATAGTATTTTCAGACAAGAAGCAAAATAAAAAATCAAATTCTCAACCTTTTCATATAAGGGTGAATCACTTGATAAATCTACACTACCTCAACAATAGCAACGAGAAACAAAAATGAAAAATACACACATACAATTGACGCCAAAATCAATATAAAAGATCTCATATCCATATTATATGGGAGAAAAGAGGTAATGTATTTTATACCGTCATAATCTGGTATCAAAATAAATCACATTTTAATTTTAAAAAATAAATCATATAAATCACATATTAATTTTAAAAAATAAATCACATTTTAATTTTAAAATTCTTTTAATTATAAAACACATTATTGATTTTCTATTATCACATAAATCACATTTTAATTTTAAAATTCTTTTAATTATAAGACACATTATTGATTTTCTATTGAATGACAGTTTACTATCCGTGCATATAAATTAAACTTATTGTATAGTAATAGCATATAAAAATTCACTTGATTTCCTTAAGATCCATCCAACATAGGACTCAGAATAGAAAGTTCCTTGTTCATCCGTTATCGGTTCATCACATCCATTCAATATCATTAGGTTTTTTTTTTTTTGTATAAGGGAAAGAACAACATTCTACTCGTTAACTAACTTCAACATATACATTATCATCTTATTTGAAATACCAAATCCAAAAAATTAAGTATCATTAGTTAAACTCTAACCCACGATTAAAATAAATATTTCCAAAAATAACACAAGATAAAACCTCGCGAGGTCTCATTTCCAACACAATTGTAGGCATGCAATTCACACCATCACAGAGAAGAGCATAAGGTCACACCAACACAAAGATTTAGCAAACACAGATCACAGAGAAGAACAGTACAGTAGGTCCGTAATCCCATATCCTACTAGATTCCACTGCTCTTATACCACTCGTGTAAAACCAAATTAATAATTAAACATTTAAAACAAAAAGTATCAAATTAAATGGAAAATATATTTGTTAAATACATTGCAGGTTGATCTATTGACCCCACGAGCTAGGTGGATTGATCATCCAGTGCCAACTTGCTTTTCTACCTCTAATCAAAGTGAACAATTGATTCAGAGCACATTAATGGTATAAATTAGCCAGAAATGGACAATAAATTTGGAGCAAAAAGGAGCAATATTCGGAAGAAATAGACGGGAAATAGCAAATTGTAGAAGTAAAAAACATACAAAAAGAGAAGAGATTAGATGATGTTGTGAGAGAACGACTTTGTTGTGTTTGGAAATTCCTCATTGGAGACGAGAGAAGGAAAATATCTTCATATTGAATATAAAATCGAAAGCAAACCCCATTCTATTGTGCCCTCTAAAACAGGCCCGGACAAAAGCAGGAGATTAAGATGCGTGACAAGTCATTGTTGGACCGTCCCCATATGCACTCCTCTCGTTGAACTCAATCGCATATGCAGTAATCACACGAACTCCCAAAGCCTTGTAACTGTTACCTCTTCAAATAAAAATACAAAGGCCTTCCCAGCTATACCCACAATGGCTCTCTACCGCTACACACACAATCTCAGTCCTCTCTTCTTTCTCTCAGCCACACTATTCTCACGATATCCAACCCATTAACACTGAGAATCAAAAGCCATAATATCAGTATGATGACTATGAACTATGTGCAACTGATTCTGCACATGGACTAAATCACTTCTCACTAAGTAAATATGGATCGCTCTAGAAAATTGATAAGCTTATGGATCTTAATATTATATATACTATAGACGAATGTTTTTGGGTGAATACACCAGTTACAAAATCAATTTTAATATAAAACGATATACAATGGAAAGCATATTTAAAAATAAAACTCTAAATTCCCACAACATTACCTCGTACTATGCAATTACAAAATCATATTTTAGAAGAAAATATCTGATTGTTTTGACTGGGCTTTAAGATCCTTCAACTTCTTCAATATGTTAGTGAAGTAGTCCTGCAGATACTTCTCCAATGTAATTATATCTTTTGTATCCACACCTAGCAGATTGTATGTCTCCGCCATCGGAACAGAGAAAACCGTGTCACCTGTAAGCACCTGCATATTTCCCATAAAATCAATCAATAATTTATTGAGCATGTTTTACCGCCAATAATATGAAAAAGAAAAATTCATATGCAAAACAAATTTGTTTGGTAATTAGAATAAGAATGATGAAATAAGATACATCAAATAATAGTTGGTCGAACCAATAGGATAGAAAAAACATGTAAGAGCAGGGTTTGTTTGGTAGAAATTACAGGACAAAATCAGATAGAATACGAGAATAGAATTAGGTTAAGATAGTCTCCTGTGGCGTGTTTGATAGACTGAGAGTGGTTCTGGGTAAAAGAGCCAAATGGCAATAGCTCTACACCATTGTGCAGATGGAGGTGGTGGTGATAGATTAGAATTGGTACCTCTGAAAATGCCAATCTGTCAGCAACATCGTTTGTCCACTCAAAGAAGCGAGTTAACTGACGAGTAAATCTTAAAACAGAGACAGGAACTGTAGTTACATTAGCATCTTGACCAGCAAGCCTCTCACACAATGTTATCACCTAGAAAGTAAGACGAGAGATTTAGTCAAGGAGGCATGTGAATGAATGAATAGACATTGAAGTTGTGAAGCATACCTCTTGTGTTGTCCATGCACGCGGACCGGCAAAAGTAAGAAGTTTACCATTGATTTTCTCGTTTCGCAATGCTATAAAAGTCAAGCGAGCTATATCCTAAAAAAAAAGCAGAAGTATAGTTGAGTGATTAGGTAGAGGTATATGAATTGATCAATATAGTAAGTAAGTAAGTAAGTAACCTGAGTATCCATGTAAGCGATTCTGGTGGGAGCATCAGTTCCCCAAACAGATTTTTCTTCGAGGATAGGAACTGCATACTGGCCGATAAGACCCTGCATTAGCATTAGGATTAGCATTAGAGGAAGTGAATTGTTAAGTTATGAGTATTGAATAATGAATGAATGGACATACTTGCATGAAACCACATAAGCGGATGACAACGTGATTGAGTCCAGAATCACGGAGGAAGTTCTCGGTGCAATACTTGATCTCCATAAGTGGAACCTCAGGATGTTTATCGCAGTTGTGGATGGAATAGAAAACATATTTCTGAATTCCCATAGCTTTGGCACATTGTATGAGAGCAACTTTACCTTCCCAATCAACCTATTTCATTGATTCATATTGAAATTGTAAAGAAAAATAAAATAAAGAGAGAGATGGAAGAATGAAATGTAATTACAGTTTTGATGGGCTCTTCAGGACGACCAGTAGCGCAATCAATAATAGTGTGAACACCAACCAAAGTAGCGGGAATAGTGTCTGGTTTACTAAGGTCGCCGTTGACAACAGTTGCTCCCCAATCACGAAGGAAATCAGCAGGAGCGGGTCTGGGCCTTACAAGGCACCTGACGTCGTAACCTTCGTCGAGTGCTCTTCTCACAATCTGCCTTCCAAGAGTGCCGGTGGCTCCCACGACAAGTATGTTGGTTGACCTAACAGGTGTTCCCGTCCCAAGATTAACGGCTGATCTATCAGCAACATCTCCACTAATACTACATTTCACACCACCCACTCTAATAGATACTCTCCTACTCCTTCCATAAACCCCATCTCTCCTCCTCGTCGCTGCAACACCAAATAGTCTCACCTTACTGCATGTACCAGTAGCACTGGGAACCGCCAAACCCGCCATTTTCATATTACCGGCAAATGCTTCATTCTTCTCTTTCTAACTCTTCAATCCAATACTCATGATCATAATTTCGCCACGTCTTCCATTACTACCACACACCGCAACCCTCTTATCTCAACCAATTAACCTTCTAATCTTTTATATTTAACATTCTTTTTTTATATTTTCAAATTAAATTATTATTTATACACAAAACTTTTTAACACTATTTTCAACATAACAAATCACTTTTTATGCTTTAACTAAGCCGTGTAAGCTTTTTTAAATTGTGTTAAAAAATTTGTTGTACATATTTTTACTCTACTCATGTATAGCTAAGGCGATCAGGCGATCGAGATATTGGGGATTCAATATAAAGTAATTGTACATTCCAAAAATATTTATTCAAATCAGATCATAAAGTTACTAGGGACAAGAGTAAGAAGATATAAACGGTCATATGATAAAGGAAAGTCGGGTAGAAATTTTACTCGGATATCAACTCCACTTAACTAAAAGTTGGGTAGTGACCTTGCCCGGATACCAACTCCTTTGTGTGTCTTCGGATAGGACCTAGCAGTATATAGTCAATTAGGAACCCGTTCCTATGCATAAAACGTAACGATTGTTGGTTGAGTAACTGCATACGTTATGATAGCTTGATTACATCCATTCATGGCAGGCGACGATCGTTATGTTCTTAAATGAGACTCTTAAAGGGTCATTTGAAGACTATATAAATGGGCTCCCGCTAGAGGAATAAGCAAGACATTCATCTTTGGGTCAATACGAACCTTCATCGTAGCACCCAAATCTCCTAAAATCATATAGAAATATATCCTTATTGACGGTATCCTTGTTTCTACAAGGAAGTCACTCATTTAGCGTTTTTACGCAAGAACGTTTGGCACCCACCGTGGAGCCTCGGTAAAAATTTCTTAGGCCACACATCACATTCAAAAAAATGTCCTCTGAAGGGGATCCTCCAGACATGGCGCAGCTATTGGCCATGGTGGATGTTCTCCGACAACAGAATGAAATATTGTAGGATAGCGTGCAAATTCTACAACTGCAAAGCCAAGCAAATGGGGAGCAAGAAGGGGGGATTCTTGAGCCCTGGCCGCTCTCACAAGCAATATGGGACGACCAAGTTCCCGGAAACTTCAAGTCACCGTCGCTCACATCTTTTGATGGCAAAACTGACCCTCAAGAGCATATCATTACCATCAACAATCAAATGGCGCTAGTAGGGCCCTCAGACTCGTTGAAGTGCAAACTCATGGCGGACACTTTCAAAGATGTGGCTCTGAGGTGGTACACGAGTCTTCCTCGACTGTCTGTGGTGAGCTATCAGGACCTGACAAAAAAATTGTACAACACTTTTTGGAAAATAGACACCGGAAAGTTTCGACAACTACCATGTTCAATGTTCGGCAGGGACATGCGGAATTCCTACGAGAGTACCTAGCCAAATTCAGTGAAGAAACCACCAAGGTTTCTCACCCCAACCAAGAGTTATTCGTTTGAGCATTTCAACACGGTCTCCGAGTCGGTAAATTCAACGAGTCTCTGGCACAAAAGCCAGCGTCTACCATGGACGAGATCATCACTAGGGTCGAGTGCAACATCAAAGGTGAAGAAAGTAATTGGGAGAAGCGATCTATAGATACTACCGAGAAGATGAAAAGTAAAGAGTAAGGGTCGAGGCGGAGAAAAGAAAATCCTTGGGTCGTCCCACATGACCGACTCGCACCAATGCCATACCGATGACCCGTCGATTCAGAGGAGGATATAACACCGTTAAATACCAGAAGAGGAGATATCCATAGGGAAGTGGGCCATCTGAATCTATTACCATAAGTGCAACACTCGAGAAAAGTGAATGCCATATTAGGGAAAGAAATTGGTGTTTGGTGCAACTATCACCGGCTCCGGGGTCACCATACTGACGACTTCCACCAACTCAAAAAAGAGATTGAAGCACTGATACAGAGGGGACACCTCCTAGCATATGTGAAGGACTCCAGGTCACAACCCGGGAAAAGAAGTCTCAGGAGAGACGACTCTAACTCGCAGAAGTCTTCTCATAAAAAAGGAAGAGATACCGATGAGGAGTACGAAACAAAGACAACACGGCATATACTTAACACCATTGTCGACATATTTGCTAGTGGTAGAGAAACCAGTTCATCCAGAAAAATGTATGCCCGAGTTGTGATGTACATCTCCCAGGAATCTTTTGAAGGCCAAGAAGGGGGCCTGGATTCTGTTAGTTTTTCAAAACGGGATGCCATCGGAGTCCTAGCCCACAAGAACGATTTGATGGTGATAAACGTGCATATCCGAGATTGGAGTGTAAAGCGAGTATTGGTGGACCCCGAGAGCTCTGTTGATGTGCTTTATTGGGATGCCTTTAGGGAAATAGACTTTGATACAACTGAGTTTCTACCGTTTAAAGGCAGCCTGGTTAGATTCTTAAGGGAACAAGTCCATGTGCTCGGACACCTGTCGTTTCTAACCATCTTCGCCAACGAGGAAAATGCAAAAGCAGTCAGGGTGAGATATTTAATTATCAACATCGTCTCCCCTTACAACATTATCATAGGCAGACCATCTTTCAATGCATTGGAAGCGACGCATTCGACCTTGTACGTAACACCCCCTTAACCTCGCGGAAATAATACAACATAATCAGAGTAAATTATCATGCATATCACATAAAGGTGTCACACATACTCCATACATTACAAACACTTGTCATGCTCGATAACACTAAATTAAATTCATGTTCCATACACATATGCATCTTGGACCGAATAGTTCTCTTTTCACAAACGATATCAATAATTGAAATCCCATAATGACAATTAGATAATAAAACATTAGGCACTAAAGGTCACTCATCACATAATCTCAATATATCATAAATAAGGAGAGTATAACAAACATCTCTCAAAACAAACATGAGTGCAAATGTCCCTTTGTGATACATGACCAGAGCATGACTCAATACCTAAATAAGGATAAATAAAGAACTAGCCCCTCCGATTAATCCTTGCGAGAAGCACCACTATCTTCGATACCTGAGAGATGTCGTATAAAATATCATTTCAACAGAAGGGTAAAAAATCACATAATTATCAAGAATCATATAATAATATATAACGTTTAGCATACATGCAATAAGATAAATATTCTTGCACTTCATATGCTTTATAAAACATACATCACCCAATTTATCATACTATTCCCAAGTATATGCCAATAATTCACAATTTTACATATACAACATTGCTCAATAATTCAAGATCTAAAGATAATCAATCAATCACAAATACCATAAAATATAACATTCACATCCATATCACATATTGCACACCAATTCAACAATTTCACATCGGCGCGTGTGAATCAAATACAATTCAATGCAATATACATGTGGTACCAATTGTTATCCTCAATAGTTTTTACGTTTAAACCGTGTCCATCCCCCAGACATATAACCACCAAAAAGCCCATCCCTCAAGCTTTCAAACCAATCCCCTAGGTTTAGGACAAGTCACTAGTCTCCATGAAACTAACAAATATTGACTCTTGACAACGAATGGTGCATATGGAATCTCAACAATCATATGCAATTAAGACTATTCATCAATCTTAATCATACGAGCATACATCATCTAATTCATCACATTTGAATTATCATCACCATTGAACAAACATACATATCTCATGTTATCAATCACATGCAATGCTTTCTCGTAGCATTAATCAACTCAACACACCACAATAACACATAAAAAAAAAGCCAAAATATGTTATTTTCATCCAACATCAATTCTCAATATACATATACACACATACATGTTATTTTATACAACTACACAATGATTAAATCACCTAATGCCAACAAAACTATTTTTATTGAAAATAATGTCGCACTAGCTTCTAACGCTTCAAACAGAGACTCAAACGGAGTTACGATTCAAAAGTTATGAATTTTTAAAATTTCAACGAAAATGCAAAGACCGACATCATACACTGACAACTCTAACCATGTCAGAATTACGCAAAATAATTAAAAGCATGACTCTTAATAACTTAAAACAATTCTAACAACTCTATCGTCAACTCTAACAACTCTATTGACAACTCTATTAGAATTGAAAATAACTTAAATTATTTAATTAACTCAAATATTTATATTTAACTCAAAACTCCTAAAATATTATACTAATAATACTAAATCATTATTATTTGTTTGTAGTAACTTGTACCAATTAAACACCGCTCATTATGGCAGTACAATTGCATCTTGTAATATAGTGATATTATTACACCATAATATTACATTGACAATATAAACTAATGAAAGTTAGAGGTTGCATAAGAGTCACATTGAATCATGACAATAATAGAACATATATAAATATACAATTAATTAACAATTGTAGCCATTTATCATATCACAGACACAAATATATTTGCGCTGTCATTTAGAATTTTTTTTTTTTGAATAATCAGATATTAAAAAAAATCGCAAATAATCACGTTTCAGAAAAATTACGTAAATAATCATGTTTCAGATGACTCTCTAAAGGAGGAGCCATCTCACTTGGCGCCTCCACCAAACTTTTTGCCCTAGGCGCCATCTCACCTTGCGCCATCTCACCTTACGCCTCCTCTCTCTTTTAGCCAAGTGAGATGGCGCATGCACTTTAAAAGTGAGAGGAGGCGCCATCTCACTTGGCTCCTAGGGCAAAATACGGTTTTTTATAAATAATTCGTCTGTTTCTCCGTCATTTCTCACACTTTCTCGCAATGTTTTATTATTTTTTACTCTGTTATTTGCGTCATGACATCGCCCATGATTTTTACCAGAGATGGTTACGTTATCTTCTCCGCCACGAAACCTGCGATAAAAATGAAATTCTGGCACATTCACTCTATGGAGCGTTTGAAGCGGGAGTTGATGCGATGGCTAGATGGAGATTGTGGAGGGGGAAATTCGAAGAATTTAGCGAAGACGAACAACAACCTCACATGCGACAGGAAGACCTAATATATGGTTGGAGGAAGTCAAAACAGACAGCGATGTAATGTTGATGATGCATGAGTCAGATGAAATTGTTTTAACAGTTGTAATTTCGTAGACAGAATATCGTGTTTTTTTTCTTGTACGCGTAATGTTTATTGTAGCAAATACTATTAATGAAAAACTCTAATGTTTACAACATAATCAAGGAAAGATTTTATGTAATACAATTTTTATGTGGTCGAGGCAGACGTCCGATTCAGACAATTTTTGCGATTGTGTCCGACCTGACGGCATAAACCACACTTTCTTTCCAGCTTGTCAAGGGAGTCCATTTAGGTTGTGATGCGCTTACTTTTGGGACGACCCTTCTTATTCCTTCGCATTTTGTCATTGTGCCACACTATTTCGCCGTCGTATGCAGGCCAATAATCTGGTTTTGCTACCAGAGGAAAGTTGTTGTTGTAAACGTTGAGCAACGTTTCAGATTTGTAAAATATTTTTCATTTCCTTTAGGTATTGCGTGAGGGGTATGGATTACGGCAAGAATCCAAGATTCAATGTCGCACTATACCGCAATCTATTGGATCACCTAAGCCCGGATGATGTACGTCGTACCTTTCAACTTTTCTACTTTTAAATTATTTATATATTAACCTGATTTAATTTTATGTGCAGTTTGTCTGGAGACCATATTTGGGTTTGGGCCATGAACCAAACCTCGATGACGCAACAATTTGGAGCGCCAAGACTACAATCATACGATTCAATATTGTGGAGATGCACCACAACGACCGTGTGAAGATGCAGTTCGGAATGCATCAAGAGATACCCAGTGATCCAACTTGTTTGTCCCCGTGGCATCTCAAAAGGGTCGACGCCCAGTGGGGTCTTACCAACTAGAAAGACTTTGCTCTAGAATGGTGTAAGATGTGGCAGAGGCGTCACCGACATGTCTTGCAATTTCCAATTTTCCTCAATCATGGTAATATGCGACACACGGATCAGTATTTATCTTGGTACAGGTTGGTTAGTAACCCTGAATGCACGTGTCTCATCCAAGGTATTTGGTTGACCCACGAACACAATAGGCACAACCCTCGTTTCCCCAACAACAAACCCAACACACATCAACCTCCCACCAACCCCCCAGACGAAACAGAACCACAAACACCCAACCACAGTCGCCACCACAACACAATTACACCCAAATGCCTCACAACCAACCACAATCACCACCACAGTACCAATACCCCTATATACCTCACACCCAACCGCAATTCCAATCACAATACCAACGCACCTGCATACCCCACACACAATTTCAGTCTTCTGTATATCCCAATATGGGCCCCTCAACATTCAGCCTTAGCCCTGATCTAGGAATGTCGGAAGATTATGAACCAACCGACCCAACTTACCATCAACCACAGTATCACCAAACCACCCAACATCCTCAATACCAAACACCCCAAGATCCATTTCCTTTCTACCCCCGTACTCAGACGGTCAATGCTACAGACCCACCATGGAACCCCACCCACCGCCAACACGACCAAACTTTGAGGGTATGGGTAACCGACTGTACCAAAGCGGGTCTTCTAGATATGGAGATCTGACTGATTTTATAGATCTGGAACGCATTGACTTCGCTGGACCATCGACCTGCCACAGCAGAAAACGCGACGACACCCAGCACGGGAAATGCGAGGACGGGGGTCATTACCGGGTTCTGGAGGATCAATGATTAATCTATTTTTTTTAATCTGTATTTTTTTATGTAATACTTATGGGTATAATCATTTTCTGTAAATAAAAAGTCAATTTTGTTGATCCTATATCGAATACGCAACGCACCGGATTGAAGAAAAAAAACGCGAAAATTACCCTAAAAATGCACTAAGGCGCCATCTCACTTGGCTTAGGGCAAGCCCTAAGCACCTAGGCGCCAAGTGAGATGGCGCCTCCCCTTAAATAATAGGTGTAGGCGCCAAGTGAGATGGCTTCTCCGTTGGGAAGTCATCTGAAACATAGTTATTTGCGTAATTTTTTCTGAAACATGGTTATTTGCGGGAAAAAAAATTTAATACCTGATTATTACAAAAACAAATTCCCCACAATACTACAATCACTTATTGGATGTCGCATTTTGAAATCCACTATAAAAGATTGTGTCAGGCTCTGATATCTTGAGCTATGGTTAATGGTTATATCTTTGCTTATGTGTATGCAAGAACACTTTGAGATAATCACTTATTTTAACATATTTCTCAAGCACAATTTTAAATAGTGTATCTAATTAACGTTACAGCTAGAAAAAATTCATTTTAGTACACCATATCAAACATGCCATAGCTGCTAACGAGAGAATTCCCTGGCAGACATTATATAATAATTAATGAAATATTTTCAACAAAAACATCAAACACAGCCTTAAACGGCCTGCTGAAATGACAAAATCATGCAATTTCTAGATTATGAAATGAAAAAATACCATACAACAATTTGCCAATAACATGACTGGTAGTCAAGGAAATCCAGAAATTTTTGTGGGGTGCACATTCCATAAATTCACAACATTCACGCTCCAACTATGGAAGCAAGTCAAAGAAAGGATATCCAAAACCAAACATATAAAAAACAAATATTTGGTACAAAGGTAATCCATTTAAATCAAGATTTCCTGTTCACCATCAATAGAAATGTCAAACTTCATTAGCTAAAAGTGAAAATTGTTTAAAGAGGCACATTCCCAAGAGTACAAACTTATAAATACTTGAAAACATCTATATAGGCTTGATCTTGAAGTGAAGTGAAATAAGTGAGAACACAAAGCACTTCAAATCCTGCAAAAATAAGTATAATTAGCAAGAATAAACCAGAGACACTAGCTGACATCAAACAAATCTATAACTGGGTAAACTAATGGGAGGCAACTCCACTTAGATCCCAAAGGCAAAAATATAGAAGCAACACAAGATAACAACATATAACGGGGAATATATAAATCACTCTCTAAAACATTGATGAAATACAGTCAAGAAATCATAATAATGGAATTCTGAAGCATCTGTCAAAACATTAGGCTCATGCATAGTAATGATTTATGTAAGTTGCTAGGTCGATTTATTTTCATTTGTCTTCATTGAGTTATGTGCGCTAGACTAATTCTCAGTTCCTGATCAAGGCAATTACTTCTGTTTTAGACTTTAGTTTTTAAGCAGTTATAATATGCTTAAATTTCAAAGAAAAATTTGAAATACAGAGTCATGTGCCTAATTAGTTAATTTTCTAGCATGCAACATATATTTTAGCCTAGGAATATGAAGAAAATGTGGCTTTGTTTCTGTTATTTGTTACTATAAATCATCCTTGAGCTGCTCAGTCCCCTACTTCATTTGCACAACTAACACTGGGTCGGCAAATTTAATTCTTTTTCAAATTCATATACTTAAATATCCACATGATAAATTTAATTCTTTACCATCGTGACAAACTTACAGACTTAGTGGTGTTGTCATTGGCATCCTAGGGACTGTGTTGTGGAAGTGCTGAACATGAACTCAAATTTCATTTATGGGGAAATCCCAATAACAATATACCTCTAGAAAATATGATCTCAAGAGTCTAACTACTTTTGATGTTAAAAGCATGCAGACCATCCACATTAAATATGAGAGTCTGTTCTATTCAGTTTGGTGATCTTAGTAACTCAGCCAAAATGATTTTGTAATGACTCATTTGATCCAAGCCAATTGTAAATCTTTACATATTGTAGCCAGACAATGTAAGGAACCTTGTTTTCCATTCACCCACTTTTGGAGTTAACACGAGGCACCCACTTTTGGAGTTAACACGAGGCAAGTTAAGAGTCAATGACAACAATTAAGTTAAAAAATCTACAATAAGCATCCTAGAAAACCCCAGTTTAGGAACACGAGTACTTATCATCATATTCAAACTGCATTTGACAGACAATGTGTAAAACTAACCACACTAAAAAAAACATAAAACAAAGGAGACCAAAAAGAAACCCATGAAAACAATCAAAGAGCACAATCAAACAAAAGCCAACGCTTTCAAACATTTTCTTTGTAAACCAAAGTATGTCCACAAACAATTCTCAAGACTAAATAATTAGAAATAATTAATGTAATATATACACCATTTGTATCACTGACTTTCAGTTAATTAATTATTTATTTGTTTCATCCAGGAATTTATATGATGTAATATATACCATTTGTAATATTAGAGAGACTCAATTTTATTGGTAAATGTCATTTTCTCAAATGGAATTGTGGCGTGAACTTAGTATTCTAGCCAATCAAGAAACAAACAAGACCATGACCGGTTTGGTTCTTTTGTTCAGAATATATCAATGAATCAAGTCAACTATACTCCAAAACCAATTCTAACACCACATGCATAAAAAAACCCAAAAAACCACAACCTAAAGACATCACAAATAGTTAGCATTAAGACTTCATAGAGTGTCATACATATGGAGTCCATTCTTGTGCTTTTTCTGTTCTATGTTGTGTCTACAAATTCAATCTCAGTAGCAGCCTCTCCCACTACCAGCAATTCTCTCTGTCCAGTTGACATGAATTATGTGCTAACAGTTCCTTGGAACACATCTACCTGTCTTACCAAAAACAAACCACAAACAAGTCTATGTTGTCAAACTTTGTTGTCACTTTTTGGTATAGCACTAGCACAAAACCTCAACAAGAATTCTCTTTTCCAACTCCCAAACCTCTCTACCTCTACCTCATGCCTTCAAGACTTCCAAACTAAGCTCAGTCCCCTTTCACTTCACTACGACATTGTCTCTTCATCTGTGCTTGTATTCAATCTAAGCAAGATTGGTTCAGCAGTGTTGGTCCTGCATCATTGTTCAACACTTCCTGTAAACAAGACTTTAGTGTTTCTACCAATTGTGATGCATGTGTTGATCAGGGACTCAAGGTTCAAGAGAAGCTGAATCAAATTGATGGTAATGGTTCACATTCTAAAGATTGCTTTTACTTTACTATACTTTACATTGCTGGAGTTGTGAATCAGTTTGGCCCTGAAAACTTTAGTGTTATGTCTTGCATTCTTGAACTGCCTCTTAACTCTCAAGTGGTTTCCAGAAAAAAGAGCCATCGTGCACTTTTTTTTGGTTTAATTCGAGCTTCAGTTGCATTCATGGTTATCATGTTTTCTTTGCTTGGCTTCTATGTTTGGCACACTGGTTGGGTAAAGAGAAAAAAGCACTGAAAATTTTCTAAGCCATGCTGATCCAAGAGAACAAAGGGACATTCTAAGATTTAGACCAAACACAGGGTCAAATTGGTTCAATTTGATGAACTTGTGAAGGCCACTGACAATTTTTCACTCCAAAACTTCATTGGTAGAGGTGGATTTGGGATAGTTTACAAGGGGATTCTATCAGACGGCACAATGTCGCTGTTAAAAGGATCGAAAAATCTGATTTTCAGGGGGATGATGAATTTTACACTTAAGTCGAAATTATTAGCAAGTTGAAGCACCACAATCTAGTGCCACTAAGAGGGTGTTGTGTGGTTGTTGAGGATCATAATCAAGAACACAGAAATAGGTATCTTGTTTATGATTATATGCCAAACGATAACCTTGAAGGTCATCTCTTTCCATCCATGGACAATGAAAAGGAAAAGAAATTGTTGACTTGGCTTCAAAGGAAAAACATAACCTTAGATGTGGCAATTGGGTTGGTTTATTTGCACTTTGGAGTTAAACCTGCCATTTATCATAGAGATATCAAAGCCACCAATATACTACTTGATGCAGAAATGAGAGCAAGGGTTGCAGATAGTTAAATATCTACATGTTCTTCAAGGATGGACAGGGATCAACTTAGGCTTCCTCCCTCCCCTTCCCTCAAGATAGTTCGCTTAAATGGTCATTTGACAGAATTAATTATCATAGGAAACAAGAGCTACCCATCTACACACAGTCTATAAGCTGCTTTTTGGAAAAAGTTTTTCCATTGACTATTTCTTTACCATCGTGACGAACTTACAAACTTGGGGGTGTTGTCATTGGCTTCCTAGGGACTGTGTTGTGGGATCCTTTACCAGCAAAGATCAACCAGTTTTGGTCATTTATAGGGATATCCCATTATGAATATCCATATGAAAAGGTGAGTTTGGTTTTTGTTGAATATCTCAAGAAAAAGTAAATGAGAAGCATTAAGTTAAAAGATTGTAAAATAAGCATCCTAGAAAAAGGCATCATGTGACAGAGAATATGCAAAATATGAAAGAAAGAAAGCCATGAAAAGAATCAAAGAGCAGAATGACCTGAACAAGATAGTAAAAGATGCGAAGGCCTTCAGGATCTGCACTGCTTTGAACGTCGACAAGAGAGCCAATCTTAGATGTTGTGAAGGAGATATGTTCATTCCCCATGACAATCTCAAGCTCCTGACGTCCAACCCGGTCCGGCTCGGGCCAGTTGTTATCGTCTTCCTTCATAATCTGAATTTGGTCAGCAACACGAAGCAATCAAATCCCATTCATCGACACAAGAATACAGTACACAAAAAAAGAAAGAGTAGGTTTAGGGTTAGTGACCTCGCTATCGGAAATGATACGGCGACACTCGCGAAGAACAGCGGGAGTGAGGTAAACCTCCTTGCGAATGATGGTATCGTTTTTGTAATTGGAGTTGTTAGCATATCGAAGCTTGCCATCGGGCCTGAACTCGAACTCCAAGAATTCGTGGCCGAATTTGCCCTTATGTCCAACATAGTATCTCAAGTAGAACTCTCTATTCTCTTCTTCGCTCGCCATTACTCTAACTAAAACCCTAACCTTCACACACCGAGATCAAATCAAACCTCGCTCGTCACGTGCACGGCACAAGATTTTTTACCAATTTTAAAGTTTTGCAAAATAATCCATATAATTTACTTACTCAATGGACGGATTTGGATTCTCAGCGGGAAAGTCAGGATAACTTTGAGTTGATCTTGGCCATTTGATTAATCACATGTACCATATCACACCACTTGTCTTTTTTGTTTTATTAATTTTTGAATAAAACTTATTAGAAAAAATGTATTAAAGATAGTTTAAACACATCAATGTTGAAGCCTTCTTCATCGTGTTCTTGTTTTTACCCACCGCCACCATTGATAAAGTTACTTTTCAAGGCCCAAACATAAAAAATGGAGAAAATACAAGCAAAGTTGATAGTGATGCAAGGTTGAAGAAGTATCACATGAAGCAAGGTGGAAAGAGGTATATATGGTACGTGTGATATGGTGGGAGAACTGACTTGAGTATTTTGCGTTTTATTACAAATGTTGCGGTTAGCAAGAGTCGCCACCGACTTTTCTTTTATCCAAAAGGAAAGACTAAAAAGAACAGGAAAGACCTTTAAGATTATTTCTTGAGTTCGGGGGGTAGATTATGAAAAGGGAAGGTGTTAGCACCTTTTTCATCCATAGTTATCTATGGGCTCTTAGTTGCTTGCTAGATCACTTGCTTTTGTTTGAAATTGTGTTTTGTGTGGTTTTGAAAGTATTTCGAAAAGGCGTCTTCGTTTAGGCAAATTTTGTAATAGTTCTCGTTCTTACTCGTTCGTAAGAATGTATACAAAGTGTTTGATCTTTTGAAAATATTTTCAAGTTTTGAAAGATGTTTTGAAAGTGTTGATGTTTGTTTTACAAATAGCAAGGATGTTTTTGTTTTGAAATGGAGCAAGTAACCAGGGACATTCTACCTACTCAAAAGTCTTTCATGTTCATTTCCTTTTTCCTTTGACATTGTTATCTTACTATTGATTTGGGAAGTAACTCTATCTTTGGATGTAAAAGGGACGGGCGTGGGTCATCATATAACCATGATTAGCAATATTGCAAGTTATCTTAGCATTTTTCTTTGGAGACTAAGATCATTTTGAAATGCAACATAGATAGCGTCATTGAGGGGCTATGATCTTGTATTTTGCTCGTCTTTGCTAAGATACCTCACATGCGTAATATGGCTATTTTTATAAGGCAACCAAGTGGATTTACCATAGAGGTGTTTATGTGCAAGTGTATTGATTTACATGCATTATTTTTGTCTTTGATTAGGGTTTTCTATTGATTGGTTTTAGTCTTTCCATACAAAACCCTAATTACTAACATTTGTATTTGAAAGTGTTAAATTGCGGAAAATAAAATCTTACGCTATTACATCGTTTAGGGGATGGGGGTACAATTTATAAATGGGGATAAAATAGGAACTTAAATATTACAACCATATCGAATAACAATGAAGGAAATGTAAAAACAGTGTAAAAAGAAGGAAAATGCATTTTGAACTATTATGTGCCAACACAAGCTCATATGCATCGACACATAACTTTCCTTGCCCCTGTATTGCCAAATCAACTCAGTATGAGTCGATACATAATGGTATGTGTCGACTCATACACTGCATGTGTCGACTCATATGTGCTTTGTGTCGACTCATACACTCTTTTTCCTTCTGTGTTGGGCCTGTATAGCAGTATGTATCGACTCATAAGGCTATGTGTCGACTCATATTGTCATTTTTTTTACTTCAACATTGTTTTGCTGCATACATGAGTTAGTTCTCAATACATAATGAAAAGAATGGAAGATAAACAAAAGGTTAGCTTCAAGGACAAAGGTTACCACACTTTGTCTTCAAAAAATAGATTACTAGTGATGCTTGAAATGGAGAACTAAAGTCAAGAAACTTACCTTGGAGCTGGATCTTATATTATGAGTTGAGTTGTTGTCTTGACTGTTCTTGAACTTGGAAGAGAAAGTAGAGGTGTTGTAGAAGCTTGTTCTTGAGTTTGAATAATTTCTAGGTGATGTATGTGAGGTGCTTGGATGTTTGGACGGAGCTTGCAAGGTGTGAGAGTTCCAAATATTTGGACTTTAAAACTCAAGAGTGAAAGCTTTTTTGGACAGTTATGGCTTTTTTGGAGAGTATGGGATCTTGATAGCTAGTTTACAACAAAACTTCTGGCTTTTCTCTCTATTTTTTATAACCTCCTACTCTTGCAAATGCTTCTTCTAATTATAGGCAAGGGGTTTGTGCATATGAGCTTATTAGGTTTGCAAGACAGTATGTTATGGTTTGGTTGGATTACAAAGATAAAACTATGTCAAGTACTCCATAGTTCCAAGATGAAGTACCAAAGTTGCTGGTATAGAGGAGCTACTTCCCATGATTTATGGTGGAGTATAATCAGCAACAAGCAAGGTATGGGCTTAAGATAAACTCTGTACCAAAAGGCTTGCTTTTCAAGAGTAGCAATGATGCCTTTATGCCATAAATGGAAAGATCTTTTGGACAATGGCTCAAACACTTGGGTAATAGCTCAAGCTCTTGTGTAAACATTAAATTATGTAGAGATTTGCAAGCAAGAAGGTATGCAACATAAGATTATACAGCATAGCATAAGGGCTTTGTTATGTGTTCTTCAATAGAATGACTTGTTATTCAAGGATGGATGACCAACTTCAAGCCCTTGAATCTCCTAACTCAAGTATGATAAACTCATGCTCTTAGATGTTTTGGAAAGCTTGAAACATCCTCTATAACTTTCATGTTGGCCATTTTGACAAAATCATCTTGTAACTATATGAAAAAAATGCCAAGAAGTTGAGATAAAATCCTGAACAAAATATGTTAAAATTTTCTCTAAGTGTTAAATGAAAATGTCATGACTTCATGAATTTATAACTCAAAATCCAAGCACTTATAGGATTTGATCAACAAAGCAAAGTTGTAGATCTCATCGGGATCTATAACTTTCATGTTGAAAGTTTTCCTTGAACCGTCTTGCATCTTGGTGAAAGAATGACATGAAGTGATAAAATTATCATGTATAAAAACACTTAGAAAATTTATAAGTCTTGGAAATTTTGACTTTTCAAGTTGACTTTTGACTTTCTTGACTTCTTGATGATCAAGTTTGATATTCTTGAATGTCTTGATGAAATTTGATCTTTGGAATGTAATGTTAACCAAAAAGTCAAAGTTTGACTTTCCAGTATGCAATTGACCATTTTGCCCTTGTGCCAATTCCAAGCCTAAATTGATGTATCAGTGCTGCAAACTTGACGTTGTAGAAGATCTTGTGAGAGAATCCTTAAGAAATGAGAGGGAAAATTTTGGGGTACAATAGCTGCCCCTGTTCAATCTTATTAAACCTGAAGAGTTAGATTGACGAATCCGCCATTCGTGACTTGAAGGTGAAAGATGATTGAACATTAGAGTGCCCAAAAATTTGCACTCAAAGATGGATGGTGAATGGGCTTATAGATGCCATTTGGAGGAATGTTGGTAAAAATTGGAAGAAGTATCAACACAAATCTCTTGTTGATTTATACTAAAACTTTATGTTTTACCTATGAGAAAAAGAGTTAGTAAAATGCAGATGCCTGCATGATGTTCACCAGATGTGGTATTATGTTAAATGCATATGGTATGTACATGCTATGATGTATGAACATGAGATGTATGTTTCTGTCGAGGAAAATAAATTCATGACTGCTATTGTGGAAATTCTGGGGGATTGAATCCCTTATTTGCCCTTAGGGATGAAGAATATGCATATCTTCAAACTTTGTTGAAATGATGCTTTCACTAGGGAATATTTCTTGAATGTCAGCTGTTATCTGGTCGGATCCAGGCTTCACAATTTGTTGAGGATGAGGTAGTCAACTGCTATCTTGTCGGATCCAGGCTCCACGGTAACTTACTGGAGGGAGAGACGAATTAACTGTTATCTGGTCATATTCTAGGCTTTGCAGAAAATTTCTTAAAATTGAATAGTTATCTGGTCGGATCCAGGCTTCATAACAACTTGCTGGGGATATGGAAGTTAATTGTTATCTGGTCGGATCCAGGCTTCGCAGTAACTTGAAGTGGTAACTATTATCTGGTCGGGTCCAGGTTTCATGGTTTTTGGAAAATTGTACTATTATCTGGTCGAATCCAGGCTTCATAGTGTCTCTATGGGGATCATAGTTAATTGTTATATGGTCGGACTCCAGGTTTCACAATAAACTGTTTGAAAAACTATCATCTGGTCGGGTCCAAGCTTTGCAGATTTCTGAGGTTGATGAGGTCAATTGCTATATGATCAGGTCCAGGTTTCACGATAAACTGTTTGGGAATTTAGTTGTTATCTGGTCGGTTTCCAGGTTTCACAACGAATCTCTGAAGGTAATTTCTATCGGGTCGGATCCAGACTTCACGATAACTTGCTTGAAAAGATGAAATTGAAAACTGATATTTGGTCGGATCCAGGTTTCACAGTAATTTTTTGGGGCAGAGTTAGATTGTTATCTGGTCGGGTCCAGATTTCATAGTATCTTAAAATTGAGATCAACTGTTATCTGGTCGTGTCCAGGTTTTAGATACTCAAACTATTATCTGGTCGGGTCCAGGTTTCATTAGTTTACTAGGGATAATGGCAAACTCTACTGGAGAAAAAGAGTTTTGCTAGTGATTAAACGGTTATCTGGTCGAGCCCAGGCTTTTGCAATTGAAGAAGTCAAACTAATATCTGGTCGGGTACAAGCTTCAGTAATAACTTTGAAAATTGTGCTAATATTTGGTCGGGTCCAGGCTTCATAGCATCTTTTTGGAAATAGTAAAGGCTTTGCTGACGGCTTTACTGGGGATCAGAGGTTGTGGCCTTATGATTTGCAATAATATGTGTTGTACCCCAAAATTTGCCCTCCCATTTCCTCAACATTCTCTCATCACCAGACCTTTAAAGATCAAGATCCAATTAGGGTTTCCTCTGCTCAAGA